ATTTAAAAAGTTATAATAAATCTCAATAATTAAAAAATAAAAAGATAAATAACCAAAACTTTTTATAAATATGATATGTAACACATATATAAATGAATCTTTTTTTAATTATAATGTCACATAAAATGTGAGTTTACACTTATAACATAATATTAAATAAGTATGCCATGTTATTAAATAAATAAATAAATATAATATTACAAATCAACTGTAAATAAAAAATTAATTATATAAAAACATATCATATTATAAATTTATAATATTATGTGATATAATAATTATAATAATTTTATTTTAAATTTTTAATTGTAGTTTTTAAATTTATAAATGGAAGCACTTAACAAGAATTACACATAAAAAATAAATTTTTTAAAACCTATGCTTTAAGATTATAGATTATAGATTACAATTAATTTGTATAAAAAACATAAAAATGGACTTATTGACAACATTAATGTCATAATATGATTTTAATTAAATAATTGATGAAATTAAAGTGAATTTTGTATAACCCTATATAAATTAATAAAAAAAATCCAATTAATATGCCTAAAAAAATGCCTTCACTTGAAATTATGTATGCTAACATACCTAGGCAAATAAGATGCCTTTACTTAAGGGTGCGAAGAAAAATTCGCAACAAGAATACGAAATCAATAGAAACCATAATTGGGGGTTGAGTTTCACTAGCTTCAAAGGTTTTTTTTTTTTTTTTTTTAATCAGATTTTGGTTGTAATTAAATCTCAATCCAGCATGTTTTGATTATTGAAGTCTAAAAAACCAAAAACTTGGTACTAGACTGAGCATAACTAAATTTTTAGACTTATCTATTTTTTTGAAATTTAATGATTTTTAGGCCTTCTCCCCCATTTTTAAAATATTATTTTTTTAAAATTTAATGCTTTATGAAAAATTTTTTAGACCTTCCTCCCGTTTCCACACATTCCCGCTCTAAATAATAGCTAAATTTAACTTTTTAATTTTTTTATTTAAAATAAAATAATTTCCAATGATTATTTTATAAAAATTAACTAAAACTAGAAACCTAATAATTTTGATTTGGCTATTAATTACTGAAAATTAATAACATAAAATTTGATTAATAAGTGGTTTGATTTCGGTTACAACTGTAACCAACCAGTGGCCGCCCCCACTTATATATATATATATATATATATATAAACTCACGCACCCCTACCTTTACTTGGACGGACAGTTGGGATTATGTCCCATCGTTAGCAACTTGTGCTTAACGATGCCTTTATTTTCTACCATTACCACTGGATTAGAGATTCTAATGATTGATTAATGTTAGTGAAGAGTTGACTAATATACTGAAATGCTCCGTGAAAAAAGGAGGCAAGTTGTCTGCTTTAAAAAGAACTACAATTTCAGAGGAAACAAAATAATTTTCCATCGATCTGTCTATGAGCTGTGTACACTTAAAGCAAGTGCACTGGGGCAAGTCAATCCATATCCAGCTGCAATTCATTTCTTCATTTTTCTCTATCTACTTTTGGTAAAGCACTGCACATGTGGATTCAATAAGGCTACGATGCTATTTATTATAAATAAATAAATAAAGCTAACAGGCTAGTCTAGTTTGCCTTCTTTTTTATTTTTTTATTTGATAGATAAAATAAAAAGGAAAAAAAATATAAAGATATATAAAGAATTTTTTTTAAATTTTACTGAATATACAAAATAATTATTTATAATCATGTATAAGAAAATATTTTATAGTATAAAATCAATTAACTTAATTATATCAATCAATTATAATGTGAACTTAATAAATATAATTATAATATAAATATTCTGTAACATTATTTTTTATTTTTTATTTTTTTATTTGTAAATAAAGGTAGTGTTGGAACTTAAGTGGTTACTACCATTTTGGGAAGAACATTCTGTTATTGTTAGAACATTTTTTTTTTTGTCTCTCCATCATGTTATTGTTGTATTTTAATTTTAAATTAAATAAAATAATAATAAGTAAATTTATCAAAAAATATCAACAAGAAAATATAGTTAAAATAGGCACGAAAAATTTATTTACTTTAAGGTAATTCACATCTCTATAAAGAGCAAACCAATCAGTATAACAGAGATATACATAAATTGTCACCCCTAAGATGGTATGGTTTTATAATAACATTCCATAAATCTGTACTATATATAGAGTTACTTAACTCAAAACACATATTTTCTACTTAAAAATATTTAGAAAATAGAATAAAGTAAGAAAATAAAAGAATGTGAAGGAACTCTCTTAATTGAGCAAAATGACATGTCTTATTTATAAGATTTATGATCATATAACTCTTATTTATAGGTTAATAATAGAAATAAATTGAGAAATTATTATAAAATAATATGTGCTTAAGTAAGGTAATTAATTTATAATGGTTAGTTTGACTAAATTCTTAATAGAAAAATAAATTCAATTTATAAAATCTATTATTCTATTTTTTTATTAAAATATTTTAGTTTCAATAGTTAATGTTGTAAATCTATATCTTTACATATATATATATACACACACATAATGCTACCCTATGCATTAAATA